GGAAACTTGTTATTGGGCATGTTAAAGCTGTAGTGAAATGCTTCTTCTAATTATGTGGTTATTAAATAAATAATTTTTAAAAAGATAAAAAAATAATATCTACCTTTAAAATTCAGTATAAAAAGAGAGAGAGAAAAAAAAAAAATTGTCCCATACATAAGTTTTTATTCTTTCTACCATTCACTATTAACATATTATCTTTGAGTGCATTTCAAATACCTGACTTTCCAAAGAGATAATGTATGTTCTAAATGCTTCTTCTAATTATGTGGTTATTAAATAAATAATTTTTAAAAAGATAAAAAAATAATATCTACCTTTAAAATTCAGTATAAAAAGAGAGAGAGAGAAAAAAAAAAATTGTCCCATACATAAGTTTTTATTCTTTCTACCATTCACTATTAACATATTATCTTTGAGTGCATTTCAAATACCTGACTTTCCAAAGAGATCATGTATGTTCTTTCTTGTTGAAGGTGCACATGTGTGCACACACTACTTCTTTTACCAATAATAATCCTCCTTCAAAGGCTCAAATGACATCCACCCCAAAATACAGGTTTGAGTTAGTAGAGTACATGGTGCAGCACTGTAAAAATCTTCATTATAATAATAATTTATATTTTAATTAATGATTAGCTTGTCAGTTGCCCTTAGTAGACTGTGAACTCCGTGACACAGGGCTATTTGTATGAGAGCATTAACATTTACTGAATACTGTTCCTATGTTGTTACATTGCTAGGGTTTATTACTTTGGTACTGAACAGTTATGGGAAGGAACAATTATGGACGAGAATCTATTTCAAAGCTATTCAACGTGACAAAGTAAGTATTAACAAATAACTGCCCAAGCATGTGAACATAGGTCTTTCTGAAGCCAAGTTTATGCTCTTAACCACAATTTCACTGACTACATAAAGTGTTCAGCCACTTAATTACTCAATAAACACCTGCTAAGTTAACAATATAGAATATAAGAAACATCATCCACAAAGTATAACATGCTGCAGGGATCACATCACATATTGGCCAACTATCAAAAAATGTTACTGTAGCAAATTTTGAATTCTACAACTAATGAACACATATTCTACTTACGTCTAGGTAGTACACATCATAAGAACTCTAATTATAACTCTTTATTTCTCTAAAAGATATTAAGGAATCCTAATGAAAAACAATTATAAGGGAAATTAATGCCTTAGCTAATACAATAGATTTTTTTTGAGGTAAAGAGAATTGTAATGTAAAAGTGGTCAACTTCTACTGATAACAAAGAAATACAGTTTGCTAAAGAAAACCATCAGATAGAGATTCATTTTTTCATACAGGAAAAATTTTTGATGGCTACTCTGCACTGGGTATTGGTCTAACTGCTTCAGATATAACAATAAAGAGATCAAATAAAAATTTGTGCCCTGTGAAGTTTATGTTTTATGTGAAGGGAGGAGGGAAAGGGCATAGAGAAATAATAAATAATAGAGGCAAAATGTGTTGTAACCATAATAAAACGTGTGTTTTTATGAAAAAGAGAAAAAGTAGGGGCTGGAGAGAGGTAAATCAGTTGTTAAATTTAGTGATTGCTGTGCAAGTATGAGGACCTGAGTTTGGGTCCCAGAGGTATATAATGTTGGATACTTACGTTAACTTTAATCTTTTTGCATGACCAGGCATTACAGGAACATAAAGCATTTTGACTCCCTGTACCACCATTATCGGCTCAATTCCATATTTTTCCTAAAAATGAACATCCAAAAGAGAAATAATCGAAACCTCATCCAAACATGAAATACCTGGGTGAAAATGTTTTACGTCCACAAAAAGGAGGGCAAGTTTATGTTAAATAGTATTTATAATGCCAACAAATTTATAGATTTAAAAACTATAATGTTAATCTCTCTTATCTGTGTTTTCACTTTCCTCATTTAACCACAGTCTAAAAATTTAAATGGAAAATTTCAGAACTCATCCCCATCTCCCACTGCCCCGTTCTGGGGATTGAATCTAGGGCCTCAAGCATGCAAGCCAAGAGCTCCACCACTAAGTTACAGTGTGGGACCTTAGAAATAAGTGTTTAAGTTTTTTTTTTTTTAATATTTTATTTATTATTTTTATTTTATAAATATGCATGTATTGACTGCACGTAGGTAAGTGTACCTGTGTCATGCAATGCCCACAGAGGACAGAAGAGGCTGTCAGATCCCCTGGAACTGGAGTTATGGACAGTTGTTAGCTGCCATGTGGGTGCTCGAATTCAAACCCGGGTCTTCTTAACTGCTGAAACCAGTGTTCTTAACTGCTGAGCCAAAAGTGCTTAAGTTTTAAACTACATGCCATTTCTGGCAGTGTGATGAAATCTGAAACTTTCCCCTAAATTCCCAGGATACGAATCATTTATAGGTCCATGATAACCACACTATATACCTACCTATTACTGTTTAAGTGGCTCTGCTGGCTATTAGAATGAACGTTATAGTGCTAGTGTTCGCTTAAGTTCTATTTTACTTAAAAAGACCACAAACTGTAAGAATAGTGATGCGGGTAGGGCAATTCAGACATGCCAAAGGACAACTGCCTCCTTTAAAAGGTGAAAGTTCTCGATGTCATAATGAAAAAACAAAGAAAATACACAGATTGAGGTTAAAAGCACCTGTATAATACGGTATCTTGAGAGAGAGTCTTTCATTATGGTGTAATTGTTATAATGCACTATTTCTTACAATGCCTCACTTGTAAGTTAAATTGGTTATGTATGTACAGGAGTAAACACAGTAGATAATGCATTCTGTACTACCATAATTTTAAGAATGTACTGGGGATCTCATGAATTAGGAGGGACCACTATACACAGAAGCAGATTCCAAGTTACTAATGAACCAAAGGAATAAAAATATCCTACTTTGACAGCATTTATGAAATCCAAGAGGGTGAAATCTTCTTTTCCATGTACAGTCCATCTGTCCCAAATTGTAAATGATATTCCATTTCTGTTATAGAAAAATATTGAGAACACAAGCATTAAAATTTCTTCCCTTTAGTAGTAATAATAAAAAACTTCCTGTAGTGTATTATTTGTAATTTACTTAGAAATTAATGTTGGGATAAGAAAGGGGAATACAAATTCCAAACTATTCCATAAATCATGTAGGTAACCATTTAAAATCTGTATTTTGTATGTTTTTTTTTCCTCAGTGTCTCATTTCAAGTTAGTATATCTTAGAATTTCAAGTTAGTACATCATTTTCTTTTTACTATTTAGTGTGTGCAGAAAATAATACATGTATACAATTGCTCTTTGCTCATATATTCTCTGGCACCTTCCCTTGTTATATGTACATATACATGTATATACATGTGTATACACATACACACACATGCTACCTCTTCTTTAACAGTTGGAGGTGTTTCATAGTGTGGACAATCCAGTCATCAAATACTGAATATTTGGATTGTTGAAATCACTGGCTATTATAAACATACCAGAATGATTATCTTGGCATATATATAATTTGACATGTGTGCAGATGTAACTACATATCTGAATCACAGCACCTCTTTCCCCTATTATGGATCACACTGTTCTGTATTCTTGTTAAGTAATTTAAGAGAGTGAGAGTGTTTGTTCTTCTGGCCAAGATACTTTTATTAAAGTTTCTATTGTGGCCAACCTGAAATGTGAAAAACAGAAGCTCAAGGAATTGTCTTTCTTTGTCATAAATCTGTGGAATTAGATTCTAAATTTCATAATACAAAGTCAGAAAGAGTGGCTTCAAAATTACCCAGGTTAGGTAAACATAGAGAAGCTATATAGTATAATGTTAAATAGTATGGCAGATCATTTAAGATGAGGCTTGACTGAGTCTTGAAAGAGAGCAAGGATTACAAAAATAGAAGAAAAAGAAAAGCCAGTACTTTTCCTTTTAAAAGGTATGATATTTTATTTCATTCTCATTATAGAAGCAAAATAGACCTTCATACATACCTAATTTCAGTTTTTCTTACTTCAGATGTCTCTGTAAACACTATTACTGGAATGGCTAAATTAAGAAAACAGTTTTTGTAAGCTTCAAAGGGATAGCTACCAGCTACTTTGATTATCTCCAAGGCAACCTGGATAAAGGAAAGAAAAGTTATCTGATAATAAGAAGAGCATAAAACTACTCAGGATTTTAACTGACTTAACTCTATCCTCAAGTTCTTTTCAAGTACTTCTCTATAAATAGCAAAAAGAGCTACAGGACTGCAGTAACATAAATTTCTTACTTACAGATCTGTACATTTTTAGTATATTTTACTTTTAATGTTTAGTCTATACTCTATACATAGTGAACAAAGTTATTTGACCATTTAATCTTCCTGTTTTGAAAGCAGACACCAGAACTCAAAAACTAAAGTGGTGGGGCTCCATTGTTAAGAGCAATGGCTGCTCTTGCAGAGGACCCAGGTTCAGTTCCCAGCACCCACATGGTGGCTAACAACCATCTGTAACTCCAGTTCCAGGGGACCCGATGCCCTCCTGGGGCCTTTGTGGGTACTGCATGACATGGGTACACCTACATGCAAGTAAAAGCACTCATACACATAAAATAAAATTTAAAAAATGTGAAAAACCAAACCAAAATAAAGCAAACAAACAAAGAAAAAGTAGTTTCAAACCACTCCATATAGAAGATAACTCTAACCTAAGAATATTGGCAGAGCACAGTATAATAACTAAGGTCGTACTAAAGATTCTGACTTACTTAATGATTAATTGGTTCATTTTATTAAAGAAAAACAGAATATCTGCTTCACATGGAGTTTACAAAGATCACAGAGCTCTGTAAGAAAAACTATAATCTATCTTGAGCTTATTTTTGTGATAAAATATTTTTTTTTGTTGTTTGTTTTGAGACAAGGTCTCCTTGTAGCCCCAGCTGGCCTGGAACTCACAAGAGATCCACTGCCTCTGCTTCCTAAGTGCTGGGATTAAAGGCTGAGATACAGCTTATTCTATTTTCAGAAAAATCTTGAAAGTTTAAATTTTATGATCCTATTTATTCATCCCTTTATCTCTAAAAATCCGAACAGCCAGCTGAAGTTGATATGATATTGGGAAGGTAGAAGCATTTTTTGTAGAAGAATAAGCTTACCAAACCAGAAACTGCAGCAGTAGATGTTGCTATAGCAGGGATAATTTTACCAGCTATGCGCTTTGTTTTGAAACGGTCAGCTGGTTCAATGCTATACATTCTAGCTCGAAGGTTTGATGCAGCTGTGATGAAATCTATATGTCCATTACTGTCATCATCTTTTTCAAATGAAAGCACTGTCATCTGAAGGTCACCTGACCAGAATAATCAGAAGAAAGTTCCCTAGTAAGTGGTAAAGGTTTTGTGAGGTAAAAAGCAATGTACATACTGTATATGCATGAAATTATGAAAGAACACAATTTACTAATAAGAAAATTTAAAATATAAAGATATATACAAGTTACCAAGTTGAAGGCTCTACTGAAAACATCGCCCAATTAAATAAAAATACTTCTTAAGAAAAAAAAAATCTGTTTTTAATCAACTAAAAAATAAAAAGAATCCAGGTATCTGAAGTTATAAAAGGACATGAAAATGATGGTTTTTAATACCACTAAATGAGAGAAGTTTCTATTTTAAAAAAAGTAAACATTACAAAACAAATTGCCAATCTGTTGCCAAGTAGATTATAACAACAAAGTGAGTTGATAATGTTCAAAATTTATTCCATAAATCTTACTTTGAAACATTTTCCTTCTGACAACAAGGTCATTATGTATCTTTCTGAATGATTTCTAGATTAGTGATTTCTGATATCATTCTAATGGTAAGTACTCTACATCATTTTTTCCCTGAATTTTACTGGTTCATGCATAAAATTCCAGAACTTTGGGAAGCACTGATATGTGTACTAAGCGTACTTAAACAGATGAGCAACAGCTCTGTTTTTGAATAATTAAAAATTCAACTTTCATATAAAGTGCTATTTAAGATGATTCAGCAAAACTGTATGCAATGTTAGTTTGTATTCCTGGTCAGTAATTGAGGAGATTAAGAATGGGCTGGAAGATGGCTCAGTAGGTAAAGCACTTGCCATGCAAATGTTGAGGACCCGAGTTTGAGTCCCCAGATCAGACATAAAAGCTGGTCATGTAATGTGAGCGTAATTGTAGTTGTAATCCTAATGCAACTATGGGAAGATAAAAAGCAGATAGGAAGAGCCTCAGAGGTTGGCTAACCAACTAGCCTGGAGTGTGTATTGGGAAAATCGGTGAAGAGATCTGAAGCAAGGTAGAAAGCAGAACCACAGGCATGCCCTGGCACATACATGCCCCCATTCTTCTCTCTCACACATACACAAAATCTGAGAAAAGTTCTGTATAATTCTTTATCCTAAAGTGGTATGTCTAAAGTATGAATAGATGTAGGTATATTTAAAGAAAGATTACTCTACACAGGACTACATTAACTTGACATTTTTTTCCCCTAAGATATACTTTTTAAGCTTATTTATTGGTTCTCTCTCTTCCTTTTTTTTTTTTTTTTCCCTTTAGACAGTCTCTCTATAACCCCAGATGGACTGAAACTCCCTATATAGTCCAGGCTGACCTCAATCTCATAGAGATAAGCTTGCCTCTGCCTCCGAAACACTGGGATTAAAGATGTATACCATAATGCCTGGCTAAATTTACTCATTTCTATTTTATGTTTAAATGTTTGTCTGCTTACGTTAAGTACACCACATACATGCAGTATGCATGGAGGCCAGAGGAGTGTTGGATACCCTAGAATTGGAGGTACAGATGGCTGTGAGGCGTTGAGAACAAAACATGGGACCTCTCCAAGAGCAGTCAGTGCTCTTAACTATTGAACCATCTTTCCAGTCCCAACTTGACTTTTTTTTGAGACATAATATCAATATAAGTCTCTTGGGCATGTTCAGTTAATCTGAATTTTCAGATCCTTAAAAACATGCTATTTATTTGCTGATGTTTTTAGACCTATTTACACTCTGAAGCATAAAAACAATTAGAACTGTAATACCGCAGTTTAGTCATACTTAAAGATGAACAGAGACTTTTATGATGAAAAAAATATTAGCTACTGTGATTAGTATTTAATCTCACAAACATTTTGGTATGGAGCTCAGATAAAGTAAGTCTGTACAGTATTTACTTATCAAAATATCCTTTTAAATTTTATTATTTTATGTATATGGGTGTATTGCATTCACCATGAAGGTCAGAAAAAGGCATTGGATCCCCTGAAACTGGTTGTTAGCTGCCACGTTGGTGCTGGGAATTGAACCTGGGTATTCTGCAAGAGTGCTCTTAACCCCTGAGCCATCTCTCCAGCCCCTATCAAAGTATTTTTAAAAAGAGTTTCCCTTACTTTTGGTAGCTTCATTAGATGAAACAACCTTTTCTAGTTGAAAAACAGCATTCCTCTCATCTTCACTGGAGACAGGAACATGGTCTGGTTTCCTTGCAGTTTCATCTGTTTGAACAACCTTCAAATATATATATGTATATATCAATGTTATCACATTTATAACCAAGTTTGGTTATTACTTATCTGTTTAATCAAATCATAAAGAGAGTATGCTTACAACATCTTCATACATTGGCTCTGCATCTTGGTCACTGAGAGACCTCAGGTATATCTATAACAATTTTTCACATTGGATTTCAAAAATTTTTAATGTATGTCCAATATAGTTTGGTATCTTAAAATTCCACACTTAAACAAAGTTGATATTAAAATAGTTTTAATTCTGACAAATTGATTTAAATAACAGAAATAAGTACACAGCTATTTTATGTAGGAAAAATTCATAATACATTACATGGGCATTTTTAAAGTATATGTTGATTATTGAGTTCTTTTTTTAAAGAATATGTCTTTCTTCATATACCAAGTACAGCATGATTAAGATCATATCTTTAAGAAATTATCTATGTGTCTCGAGAGAGGGCTCAGAGGTTAAGAGAACTGAATGTTTTTGCAGAGGGCCTGAATTCAAATCCCAGCATCCATATGGCAGCCATCCCTAACTCTAGTTCCGGGGATCTGATGCCCTCTTCTGACCTCCACAGGCACTGCACGTCATGGGCACACATACATACAGGCAATACACTCATACACATAAAATAAAATAAAAATAATAAATATTTTTAAAAAAGAAATGATCAGTTTGATTCAGGAGTTCTGTGAACTTGATATTTCAAAACGAAAGTTACATAATAAAAGAACTATTTCTTATTTTAAAAATTCACCAAATTATGTTTTTAGGCATTAAATATTAAAAGCATTTAAGATATATTAAGGAGTCAAGGAAACAGAAATTCTGCTTGTCAATATGTCTAATTAACTTTAGATTGTGAAAAATCTGTAACTACCAGGACATGCTGGTACTAAAACTTCAGTGTGAGCTCTTTTAGGGAGCTGTGGAGTGGACCATAATTCACATTAAAACTTTAAACTGCCAAGGAGAAATTTATTCCTCCCCAACTGTCATATGAATAGAGGCAATGCAACCTAGAAAACATATTGCAGCATTTCCTTCACATCTACCTAGTTTTGACAATGGTAAACATGGGTTGGAAAATTTTATTTTGAGAGATTTTGCTTTATCCTTATTACAATCACATTATTTATAGGCTATATGTTATGATCATTTCATTTGGAAAATTCACGTACTTGGGCAGAATCAACGGCCCACAAAGACCTTTAGGTTGTACACATCACTTCCTTGAAGAAGTTTTTTTTGGACAAAAAGACATACAGTAATCTTGTGAAAAAACCATTTCCATATTTTCAAAATTTCCTATTTATACTACCTAAATATCAGATTCTGTCTTTAAAGGCACCCGAGCAGCTCAATGTGCTGGAAAGTAAAGGCAATATATAGTAGCCTGTCTCACCACATTAGCATTAAATGCATCATCAGTGCTGTCTTGCAATTCTGCTACATCTATTAACTGACTTTTTTATTCTGGTCTCAATTACTGCATACCCTGTCTTCATCTTCCTATCTCTACTCTGAACTACTAAGCTTACATCTTATTTCACCTAAGAAAATAGCAATCGCTCCCCACACAAATACTTAGAAACTCCATGAGGACCACAGTAAGTATTCAGAGAACCCTATTCTTGCCCATTACTGTCCTATTAGCGACAATTACTTCATTCAAACCTCCATCACCTTTTGCCTACATTCTTATAATAATTAATGACTTTTCCTGCTTTCTGTCTTTTGTAATCAAACAGCTAGTCATCTTTTTAAATATAAAACATATTCTATTATCCCTGTGCTTAAAACCTTTGATTCTACAATAAAACACAAAATACATATCACAACCCAGATTAGTTCTTACATCTCAGTGCTTATCCCTCACTCATGAATATTCTTCTCTAGAAAAGTCACTGTCTGAAAAGCTTTCAATATCTTTCTCTACACATGCGTTGCTATTTTACTAGAATCAACCTGTAGGAAAGCTCATTCTCTCACCTTCTTTAGCTCAAACACTGCCATTATCAGAGGCTTCCTTCCCTCTCAAACAAAACTATACCAGTCACATGACTCTCCCTTCTTTCACTGCTCTTCTTAGTACATATGCCTATATTACTGTATACACCTACAAGCATTTTTATAAATTGTTTTTAGACATTTGCACTCATGTGTGCAATGCATACTGACACTCTCACTCCCACTTCCAAAAACCACCTAGTTTACCCACTCCCCTACTCCTCAGAAATCTCTGTAACTATTTGTCTTGTTTTGTTTTGTGACCTCCTAAGGTTAACCATGGCCATCTATGCAACCACGAATTTAGAGCTATCCATTGGAGCCTGCTGGGCTCGGCAGTGGGCACACAACCAAAGACAATGATTGCTCCTCTTTCAGAATCTATCAATAGCCAGTAATTCAGAGTAAGACCTTGTGAGTCCCTCCCACTTCCCTTACTGCTGATAGGGCTGGTCTTGTGCAGGTAACTACAGTTGTGAGTTAATAATTGCAGTGGTTGTACTGAGTCTAGAGAATCGAATTTTGCAGGTCTTCATCCTATCTTCAGGTCTAATATACTTCCTATCCCCTCCTCCAAACTTTAGAGGGGTGGCATAAATGTCTTAGGGAAGGGCTCATATCTATTGCTTATTCTCTGCACTTTGGGTAGTGATGACTCTCTGAATTCACCATATTCACTATAATAAGAGGCTTCTCTGAATAAGGCTGGAAGTTGCTTTCATCTGGTCTGGCAGGGCCAAATGACAGGTCAGCTGGAGCACATTCTAGGTACATTTTTGTTTAAAGTCCATCTCTACCCATTGGAATGAAACATCCATGAGGACAAAGAATCATGGTATTCTTCAGGTTGAGAATGAGATTTATTACAAGCAGAACTACAACAACCATTAAACTTACCTTGTTGGAAGGTTTGAACTCCTGAATCTTTACTTCTGAAAGAATACTTATGAGGGTATCCATTGATAAGTCCTGTTTTATAAAAATGTTATTTTATCAAACATTCTTCCAACTCTGAATTCTGAAGTTAAAAGCACTCTCTAAAGGGTTCCTTATCATATCAAATATACTAACAACTTAAATACCTAACATCACCTGAGTACATTCATTTGAGATGATTACCTCCATTTCTTAAAAATGTTCAGCCGTAGAGGCTATTAAGGAAAGCGAACTAGGAGTAAAAATGAACTTATCAGATAAAAAACCTTAAATCTTGGTCTTTCTGCAAATTTTCAGAGACCATTTTTTCATTTCCTCAGTTTCAAAGTTAAATTTCCTGAACAATTTTATATTCAATAAATTAACAGAATTTATTCATTAAAAAGTAAAAAATTATAATGGTTCAAGATAAACTTAGATGAATCTACTTAAGGCTACTGGGTCCACATTCACTACTATGAAGCTGTCTAGGAAACACTAAGACATACTGCCTTTGAGGCCAGTTAAGACTCTTGAGATATAGCTACTATTCTTTTTACAAAAAGAATGAAAGACAGAATATTACTATTTTTACTAGACCTTTATGCAGTATTTTATTTGTATTAATTTCAAGAAAGACTAATCTACAATAGGCATATCCATGTTAAATACAGATCTATAGCCAGGCATGGTGACATATGTAAGACATTTAACTACTGGAGACTGACTGCTACTGTATGAGGGAGAGTATGCCTTACATACGATCTCTAGATGGGCTGACTAGACGTCAGTGAATGAATTTACACTGAAGGGCATCTGGGTACAAATGCTTGACTGGGTAGGACTTAACATGTATGGCAGAATACAAGGGGTCTGGTGGGGGGATGGGGAGACATGGATGTGGGGAGAAGGTCTAAATTTGATTTAGAACTGTTCTATGAAATTACAAAAGATCAATAAAGAAACTTTTTAAATGTTAATATTATTTACTTCCCAAAGTTGTTCTAAGTATTAAATGAGAATATATTTTAAAACTTTGCAAAATCCTATGCAAATAATGTAATTTATTTACTTTGTGCTTTTGTGATAAGATGCAGCTAAGTGAACCCAATTTCTGGATAGTTCTCTTCATGGCTAAGCAACAATCAGATGTTAACAGAGTTTAGGAATTTTCAATTGTGAATTTTCATGGTTTGTCAAACATAAACTATAAGCACTTAAACTGTATTGCTCCTTTCATTTTATTTTACTTGTTCTAAGGAGTATAGAGAACAATGAATTTAGCTAAGACTGGCTTCCAATGAATCCTTCTTGCATAAGGAACTCAATTTTTATAGTGTGTGCAGAGTGGGTAATAAGCACAGAAATATGTAATTGCTTAAGAAATATTTTTTTTCAACTTCAGCTTCAAAATAATGTGAAGAGCCAAATTATGTTATTTTAAATGGCCTTAGTTGGGTAAAACTTTCAGTAATCAGGAAATGGAAACACAGCTATAGAAAAGGGAAAATGAATTCTTAGAGGCATTGGAACTTAAACCCTATCATTTCTCTTTAAACTATAATGAAGACAAAGACGATTATTGAGCTATGATTATTATGATATTGTATAGTATTTTATATGCAATTAGATGCACTTTGTTATTAGATGTTTGAATATAGGTATTAATTAGGTTTTCTTTTTCATAATTAAGAAATAAATGGCATGCGTCTAAACTGGGGAAAAAAAAAGTAACAATCTCTACAAAGTTATTTTTTAATTGCTGAGAGGGCTCATTTTAAGTTAACTAGGATAACAGAAGTAGGTAAAGAGGTTATAAATATTTAAAACACTTTAATTTCTTAATTTTTATTTTATGTGTATGAATGTTTTGCCAGCATGTAAGTGCACCATGTGTGTGCAATGCCTGCAGAGGCTACAAGAGGGCACTGGGTCTCCTGGATCTGGAGTCAGGGACAGTTTTTGGCCCCACAAGGTGCCGGGATGTAAACCCAGGTCCTCTACAAGAGCAGCCAGTGCTCTTAAGCCCTGAGTTATCTCTTCAGCCCCAGGTTATAAATACTTTTTATTACTGAAATATGATTACTCCTCACAAATATTTTAATATTTAAATTCAGAAAGAAAAATTAATTTTTTTCTGTTTATTAGATTGCAACAAATGGGCAGCTTCTGCAACCTGGAATGGGCAATAACACAACAAAATAAAACTTTTTTTTAAGTTAAAGAAAGAATGATTCTAGCTGGGTGTGATGGCACATACCTATAATCTTAGCATTTGGGGAGTGGAAGCAGGAGGACCAAGAACTTAAAGTGAGCCTTAAGTACATAGTGAGTTTGAGACCAGCCTTGACTATGTGAGACCATGTTACAAACGAACAAACTAAAGAATGATTCCTACAATTTAAAACACATTTTGATTCAATAACTGCTTAATTTAAACCTGGTTTTGTTTCACTTCCTAGAGCTTAAAGAGCAACTTACCTTTTCTGAAACTGGAATGCAATATACCGCAGCATACAGTTTTGCAGCATTCTGAAGAAAACTGAGGTGCCTTTTGAAATGAAAAAAAAATACAGCACTCTGAATGGACAATTTAGTAAAGATAATAAGCAATAAACTAGAAAATATAGCCTTTATTTTAACACTTAAAGAAAATTATTCACAGAGTTTTTGTTACAGGATTACTTTTTACTTTTTTTTTTTTTGGTCTTTTTGAGACAGGGTCTCCCTGAAGCCCCAGCTGTCCCGGAACTCACTATGTAGACCAGGATGGCCTTGAACTCACAGAGATCCACCTGCCTCTGCCTCCCAAGTGTACTTTTTACTTTTTTAAAAGTTAAGATAGTAAGGCTGGGTGTGGTGGCAACAGGCCTTCAATCCCAGCACTCAAGAGGCAGATGCAGGAGGCTCGCTGTGAGATGGAGGCCAGTCTGGACTACATAGTGAGCTACAGGCCAGCTAGAGCTACAGGGGAACTCTCAGAAAATCAAACAACAAAAAAAAGTTATGATAGTGAAATTCTTCTCTAGACTAAAACACTGTAGAGTATCAAAAGTTTATCAAGAACACTAATATCTAGGTAGTCACCAGGAATACTGTGAAGAAAGGACCAGCATTTCCAAGAGGTAGAACAGTTAGAAAAGTAGAAGAAAATTCAATTTAATTCACAAGACAATAAACACCAGGCATTAATGAGTCTACGTTAGGTTTAAACCAAGTTTAAAGTTTGTTTAAAAATAAAAATGGTTATGTCTCACTGGAAAGGCAGTCTGGGATAATGTGACTAGAGACCTAAAGCGTGCAACATGGGAAAAATAAGCAAGGTGAGTGAAGACAAGCTTAAATAGTGTACGCATCCAGGTAATCATGTAAAGACAAACTCCTGTGAAAGTTTGTTATTAATTCAGTGAGACAGTAATAACTGCTTGTTCCATATAAGTAAAGTGTCTTAGCTTTATTGAAAACAATTACTGTAATTTTACTTTCTTCTGGAAAAGAGTTGAGGTTGGCTGGTTTCTACAGAGGAGTAGATATTATAAATAATGAAGCTGTTAGCATGTAAGTAAATGGATTAACACTTGTGTAGGAAGAATGCGGCTGCCTCTGTTGACTAGAAGGACTTGTTAACTTGGATTAAAAGCGATCTAATAATTTATATTAAAGATCGAAAGTGTACAGTTAAGACATTTACAGTTAAAATATTTGGATGTACTTACAAAGGTTCATTTAAATCAAATTTTATTGGTGAAGGTGGCCTTTTTGGTGACTGCCAAAACAAACCTGGCAAAAAGATACAATGTATTTCTTTCAATATATACATACATAGATTTCAACCATAAGCTGACTTATATAAGTTACATTACAGTTTCTTCTGAACACTTATACTTACTGCCATCTTTTAATCGTGTATCAAGAGGAAAACAGTGAAGAAGCTGAAGAGCCTAAAGTGAAGAAAAAAAAAGATAGAAATCCAATACTTGATGTTATCTACAGAAAATAATTTAAAATGACATTAAAAATACGCTTTGTTCATACTTGTGAAGGTCTCATTAAACAAAAATGAAAACAAACAAACCAAAAAACTTTAGGGTTGGGCCTGGTGGTACACACCTTTAATTCCAGCACTCACTAGTAACAAGGCCAGTCAGGTTTACATAGTGAGTTTCTGGCCAGCTGGGGCTACAGGGAGACCTGTCTCAAAAGAACAACAACAAAAAAACTCCAAAACACAAAAACCTCTGAAAGATATCCCAGTCTGTCACCCATGAATTTAGGTTGTGTTTTTTGCTGTCCTACTGCCCATACTATTATAGCTTTTTTACAGCAAACATGAATATAGACTACTTCATTCCTTTTATATAAACGGTGTATTTTAAACAACCTTTTGCTTTCTTTCAATGAGTTAGTCCTTACAACAAATAATTAGCAAGGAGTCTACTACATTATTTTCTCTACATTTCTATGGCTGATTTTTCTTTTCCTGTAATAAAAAAAATCAAATGGAAACAGAATAGGGCTGGTGAAATGGCTTGAGGTGAGATGCTTGTCACCAAGCCTGAGGACCTGAGTTCAGTACCTGTCCCCCACATGATGGAAGGAGAGACCTGATTCCCATCAGTTGTCTTCTGACCTCACACAAGTGCTGTTTCATGCACTTACCCACCTCCCACCCAACAAATAAAAAATGAAAGAAAAAACCAAAAAAAAAAAAAAAAACCAACCAACAAAAAAAAAAAAAAAAAAAAAAAAACAAAAAAAAAAAAAAAAAACCAACCAACCAAACCACTAACAACAAAAACGACAACAGAGGACACAAACAAGAGTTAAAATTCTGAAATAAAGAGGCCACTGATAATTATCATAAAAATAGGGACAGTAATAAGGAAAGAAGTCATGTAGGAAGTGAAAACAGAGGTGCAATCAAAAGACTTTTTTTTTTTTGTCATTTTGAAGCAGGTTCTCGCTGTAGCCCCAGCTGTCCTGCCTCTGCTTCCCAAGTGCTGGGACTACAGGCAAAGACTTTTTTTAAGGCATGAATTTATTTATAAAGCAAGAGTTTACAAAAGGGAGAGAATAAAGACAGTATAGGATACAACACAATAACTATGTAATTGTAAACAAGAGTAAGTATTAGGGTTATGTGCCATCATCTATTCTAAATGCTTTATGTGTATTAGCGTATTCAATCTCTACTACTATGTACTCTGTATGTATTAATTTATTATCTTCAATTTACAGACAAGCAAACATATACAAAATGTGTTCATGAGCTACTGTTAGAAAAGGCAAAATTCCAACATTTCTGACTGAATAATCTCCTATTTTCTCAGGCTCTTGCTTCTATTCTGAACAAACTTCTTTTTATTTTTGGTCTTTTTGAGATAGGGTCTCCCTGTAGCCCAGCTAGCCTGGCACTCGCTATATAGACCAGGCTGACCTTGAGATCCACCTGCCTCTGCCTCCCAGTGCTGGGATCAAAGGCATGCACGGCCATGCCTGGCCTTTGAACAAACTTATTTATAGAGTACAGATAAAATTAATGCATTCCTTACTACTTAGAGAGAAAAGCTATCCAAAATCCAACTTTGTATACAGGATCAGTTCAATGCATAACTGATAAGCCAAGCCAGTAAATGGAAATTAAATGCTTTAATTAGTAACATTCAAAGAGAAAATAGTTGTATGTCTAGCCTTTACTCTCAGTTAATTTATCACTTATTTCAGAAAACGTTGGTGAAAGAAACAGACATTTTAGGTCAGTGATATTAGTAATAATAAATAAGACAAGGATAGACCTTTGCTTAACGTCTCAGAATGTATACTTACCTTATGGTTAAAATATTTTTCAAATTTTAATCTTGCTAATTCTACACACTGGAACCAATTTCTAGGTCTTCTGCTAAGTAGCTTAATAACTTGAAAACAGCCTTCTAAACTCTGTCCACTTTGTATCTTCTAGAATGAAAAAAACAACAAAAAACAAAAGTAAAATACTTCCAGCTACACATACACTCACACATGCACATGCACGCACAACAAACACTTCCAAAGTATTAGTCAACGCCTGAAACACCAGGTCATGTAATTAATACTTTTATTATTATTTTCAGCTAAAACTATCTCTGTTTTCCTTGTCTTGGTTCTTTCATGTCTTTTTTCAGGAGAGGAATGAGAGTACTGCCTACATGTATGTAAGTGGACCCATGCTGGGCAAGGCCCATGGAGGTCAGAAGAGGGTGTTGGATTCCTTGGAACTGGAGTTGTTTGCTGCTATGCAGGTGCTGGAATTTTAACTGGGGTCCTTCTGTAACAGTAGTCAGTGCTCTTAAACACTGAACCACCTCTCCAGCCCCTAGTTATGAAGTTTCTTAACTCACAAGATACCTTCAGTTTTCCTAGATGTTACTAAGTACCACATAGATGCTTCATATAGGGAGTCCCAAGTAACAGATAATAGGAAGTTGACCTTTTTAGTGATACAGGATTAAGAAATGCAAGGGAATATCTTTGGAGTTGATCTTATTATGAGAGCAAAAAGATTAATTATCTACTCACGATTATTTTCACTTTAATGTTTCCTCAGAGTTTACCAAGCCTTTTTATTATCTATTACTCTTCTAGCACTATTATCATATCCTTGTAAGATTAAACCACATAAACTGTTATGGAGGCCAACTGTACTCAAAATGACCATTTTGCTGTTTATTCATAAAGTAAACTTTATTACTTTTAGGCAACTGGAAAATAAGATTAACATTGACATAAAGTACTAGGTCTGTATTAAATGCATTTACTTTTACCTGTAAGACATCTTCTGCAGATGGATAGGTTTGCCAAAATTTGTTAAACAATGAAGGCTTGTGGGAAAAGGAACTTTCAAACTGTAAGAAATAAAGGGGTTAAAGTAGTATGTTTGGAAATTGCAATATCTTTTTTTTGTAATTCAAAGAAAATAATGTCCTTGAAAAGAACTTTTACCTTGTCTCTTGCCCACTGGATAGTATGTTCAATAGCAGCTGGAAAGGATTTTAGAGTACAAAATGGTATTTCCTCTTCTGGGGGGTCCCGCTATTGTAAGATAGGACAATAAGGTAATACCAAATATTTGGTTGAATTTTGAGTTTTGACTAATTCAAAAATAAATTCAAACCATGTATTTTACATCTGCCATTTTAAGGCAAGAAAAGGAAAACTTAATTCCTTTAACATTTAACCTATTTGTTAATAGTACTATAATAAACATGAATCTTATTATGACTTATCATTTGGGCACTGGTGTAATTTGACATATAGTCCTAATGGCAGACCACCATACATTATTTATTCTTTTCTCCAAAAACTCAGGTGTCACAAAAAATTTTATAACACTACTACTCACTACCCTGGAAAATGATTCAAGAATCCTTATTGTAAGTGCTCAGTGCACCATGAATCTACATGCCGAAAAACATTTTGGAATAGATGCCTGGTAGTTTCCTACAGAAAGTATATATTAAAGAAAATGAGAAATTTCTAAGTTGTCTCTCTAGATGAAGAAGCGCCAAAGAATTCCTCATCTATTAGTGGGTTTGTTCAGTCTAGGCTTTCTGTTCTATAGAATGAAAAATGACGGAATTCATTTTTTTTTTACTTAAAAGACTTCAATTTTAATTGGCTGATTTATGAACTACCACTAAATTTTTGTAATTCAGTAAGGAAACCAGAGGAAAATTAAATTCTGTTTTATATAAATTTGAGATTAAAAAAAAAAAGCATAGGCGGTTTAGGAAACATGGAGAATCGAGGGGACTTTTAGAATTTTATAATATTCCCCACTTGAAAATCTTCCAATGAAATCTAGTGTTATCATAATTTCTTCCTTATTTAACCTCCTAACTAAACATCAGTTTAGTCTATTAAAGTATAGTCACTATATGTGTCAACATATTTCATGAGAGGACATAGGGAAAATAATGAATCACAGAAAATTTTTAAAAATTACCAAAGCAAAAATACCCATTAAATAAAGGGTTACTGCTAAAAAAAAATCATAGTCTTTGAATTATTTTACTTGAGTTGCTCAGTTTTAAGTTATAAAGCTAGCAATTACTTCTAAGATCAGTAGTTTTAACTTCGGCAGCGTCAAGAGAATCATTATGGAGGTTAAAATGCTACATTTCACCATCTACATAAAATATATATACTCATACAGTTTGGTTTCACCTAAGAAGAACCCGACTGTGCAGCTAGGTTCTAGGTAGAGCACCAAGGTTTGCATTTCTATCAGGTTTCACAAGTATTTCTAACAATTCATGCTAGGGGCTTAAATTCCTAGAGAGAATAAACCAGAAATGAATACGCAGTGACTATACTTGATTTCTTTATAGGCCACCTAATGTCTAACACAATAAAACCCAAAGACCAGCAAATGAATATAATTTTAAGTTTTTGGTGATACTTCTGTTCTCAATCTAAAAGTTTAATTGCTCTTAACAAGCTATCTTAAGCTCTAAGGTTGTTAGAAAAGTAAACAGCTGTGGAAATAGTAAGGCATAGTAGTCCATAAAGAACATAAAATTCTGATGATTTTTAAAAAAGCATTCAGGGCCTGGGGAAAATGGCCCAGTCAGTATAATATTTGCTGTGTAAGTATGAAGATTTTATTTAATCTTTAGCATCCACACATAAGTTAGGTACAGCACATGCTTGTAAATCTCAGTGCTGGGAAACAGCAGGATCCCTAGTGTTTATTGGCTAGCCAGTTTAGTTAAATCTGTGAATTCCAGGATTCAGTGAGAAAACACTTGAGAAAGATGCTTGACAATGAACTTTGGCCTCCACACACATACACGTACCCACACAAACATGCACATGAACATATATATAAAACATATGTTCAGATTTGGGTGTGGTGGCACACTCAGGAGGCACAGGGATGCAAATCTTTGTGAGATGGAGACTAGCCTGGTGTAGTGAGTTCCAGGCCAGCCATGGCTACAGGGAAACCCTGTCTCAAAAAACCCCCACCCGCAAAAAAAAAAAAAAGTTCAAAAAATTTAAAAATACAGAATGCACATGCATATGCATTAATCTAAGAGGCAGAGCAAAAACTAAGGTTAAGAAAGCTAAGTCAAATTTATTGATTCATTGATGAAGACAAAAATTTATGAGCTATAAAGACAGGCATTTACTTCAAAATACTGACTTACGTGACTATTATAAGATTCAGTCAAGTGAGGCACAATAATTTCAGTGTGTCCCTTTGTGCCCATTGTTCCAGAATCTAAAAGAGGCCGAAGATTTGCTAAGCAACGACTGTTTGAAAACACAAACATGATTAGTAACAAGTAAACAAAGGATATCCCCTACTTTCTCTTTGACATTTCACATACTGAGCATTTCCTGAATACAGTACCTTAGGAATTGTTACATGACCCGCTGGACATTTCTACTTCCTGCCCTACCACACCGACAAAATTTGTTGTTCAACATGCAATTTTTGTTTCTCCCTTATACTACTACCACCAAATCCTGGGGTTTGTTAACTGAGTTTCCAGCTTAATTATTAACTATTTTATTCTTGCTTCTCTTGTCTTCTATTTTTTGATTACTTTCTGAATGTAAGTTCTACCACACTATGTCTTCTCAAGCTGTTCTTATCCCAAACAATATTAACTAAGAACTATCACTGCTCATGTTCTACCCACTTTAATTTCTTGGGATTTCTTACTTAAGATTTTCTTGTTTTTCAGGTTGGCCAGATGGCTCAGTAGGCAAAAGTGTCTGTTGCCAAGACAGAAAAATGGAGTCTAATCCCAGAGGCCTACTTGGTGGAGCATGAGAACTGACTCCCATAAGCTATCCTCTGACTTCCACACACATGCCAATATATGTGTGCTCCCTCTTCCAATTCGTACACACACACACAAAAATGTAATAAATTATTAAATAATTTCTTTTTCTTGGTGGCTGGAGAGATGGCTCAGCGGTTAAGAGCACTTACTGCTCTTGAAGAAGACCCAGGTTTTGTTTCTAGAATCCACATGTCAGCTCACAACCACCTATAACTCCAGTTCAAGGGGATCCAATTCCCTCTTCTGTTCTCTGAGGGCACCAGGTCTGTACATGTGGCACATACGAACAGGTAGGTATATACTCATACATATAAAAATAAATCTTACTTTTCTTTCCTCTGCTCAAAATTAGTCTTCTCACTCACTGCTCAACTTGTAAGTGTTCCCTGTTTATGTATGTGTTCTAGTATCCTAACATTAAGTACTAATACAATAATATAAAAAAGTCTACATAAGGTATATACATTTTCAGTCATCCATTCATAGACTGATTTCATAAATCACATGAAATGAAATTATGTGATTGGCACTAAAGAAAAAGTGGTGGAAAATAAATGGTCTCTGGCTCAAAGACTTACTGAAGAAACAAACATTAAGTAAGCATATATGTCAATAAAAGTAAGTGCCACGAAGGTAAAAGTATTGAGAAAGGTAGATTCAGAGATTAAAGAACGTCTGTTTCAAGAAAGAGATTTAGGATGAAACAGAAAGGCTGAGAGAACAACTTAACCTAAAGAACAGGCAGATACATTTGGAGCCAGAAATTTTGGGAGGAGGAGAAGAAATACAACTTCCTAAGGCCAAAAAATGATTCAAGTAAAAAGAGTTAAAGTCTTGTAATACCTCAAAATACATACATATAAGCCTACAAGGAATAAAGAGAGCCAGGGTAGACCAAGTACATTTAAAACTGGAGCAGTGGATGAGAATAGGTACTGTGTGAAAAACATTTAGGTTGCTACCAAGTTTGAATTTTTCTAAGTAGAATGGGACATTATTAGCACACTAGAGTTTGAGTACTATTAAAATAGGAACACAAAGAATAATCAGAAAAGTTTTCAAAAAGTTTTCAAAAAGTGAGAGTGGAATACAAAAGTAGAACATACCTGTCCACATATCTCCTGGCTTCCACATTATCTAGTGCTGTAATAATGATATCTTGCTTAGTGTAAAATTCATCATTATAAATGGTCTCAGTGGCTGGACAAACTTTGTTCAGGTGTGCATCTATCTTTAACTGAGGATTTATTTTCAGAGTTGCATCAGCGGCAGTATAGCTTTTAGGTTTCTAAACAAGTAACAAATAAAAAAACAAGGACTAAATGTTAGACAGAAAGGAAGAACTATGATTGAATCCATATTATAATCACTTGTTTTATATATATGAATGAAGTATCAACACAGTCATGAGACTAACCCAAATAATCTATACATTGTCTTTTTTTTTTTGGTTATTTTGGGACCAGGTCTCCCTGTAGCCCCAGTTGGTCTGGAACTCACTAGGTAGACCAAGCTGGCCTTGAACTCAAGAGATCTGCCTGCCTCTTCCTCCTGAGTGCTGGGATTAAAGGTGTGCACCACCACCCCAGCAAGAACAAGTATCTTTTACAACAAAGGAGGATATTAATCAAAAGTAGCAAATAAATTCTAAATATTAAACCATACTTGTTTTATATTAAAACAAAAAGAAAAAGTATGGCACAAGTTTGTGATTTGTTAAAACTTCAAATTAGCTTGTTTCAATATACTTACTTTTATATTTCCCCCATTTGTTCTTCTCATTATGTAATAATCTTGAAAGTTCTAACAAAGAATAGTGGTGATCTAATGACTATTTTTAATCAATTTATGAACAGAAAATACTTCTTTTTGTGAAACAGATGCCTTAAATTTGAAGACAACAGTGACATACTTGTATATGATGAGGGCGAAACAGGAACTGTCTATTTAGGTTCGATTTTTCTATCAGGTCAGGATCTGTAACTGTAACCTAGTATCAAGAGAAGAATAAAATAAATCACTGTTTTCATTTCTCAGTATGACGGCAACAATACTCTCAAATTATTCTGGTTATAAAAGTCATTAAAAAAATCTTTCAAAATGGTTACCAATACTATATTACTATGGTTATATTTAATTATAATTAATGTTTAGCATATGAGTACCCCAAAGAAGATAATTAGATAACTAACTTTATACCTCTTCTTCAAAACTTTCTTAAATATAGAGGTTGAAAATATCCCTGTTAACTTTCAGAACTATGCGATTAGTCACAGAGGAGCTATCTCTTTCTGAATTTCAACATTTATCCTTTTTACATTAAAAAATTTTTATTATCGTGTATGATGTATGTGTATGTGCATAAGTCTGAGTGGGTGCACATGTGTTACGCATTCAGTGTGGAGGTTCTCTCCTTCCATTACATGTTTCTAAGGAATCAAACTCAGACCATTGGGCTTGTCATCTCTCATGTTAAGATTTATTCAACAGTGTAACAAAACAGTAATATTATGTTTTCCAGTTTGCAAAGCCCTTTCACATTTGATCTTGACAGTGATACTAAATGGAAGAAAGGACAGATTTTAGTTTCACAGAAATTGAGACAGAAAAGAACTAAAGAGTAGAAAAAGTTATTTATCACTTAAAAAATGATAAGGTAATCAGAGTTTTCCAGTTCCTAGTTTAATGACCTATCTGAAAAATAAGTCTATATAGTTGAACACAGTTTAAATATAAACATTTAAAAAATATTTTATTATTTTTATTTTATGTGCATGAATGTACTGCCTGCATGTATGTAAGTGTACTAGGTTGTGTAATGCCTGAGGATGTTAGAGGATGATGTCGGATCCCCTGGAACTGTAGTTATCAATGGTTGTTAGCTGCCATGCGGGTGCTGGGAATGGAACCTGAGTCCTCTGCAAAAGCAGCCAATGCTCTTTACTGCTGAATCATCTCTCTAGCCCCAGAAATATAAACATTTAATTCTTAAAGGTTTATATCTTACCAATCCCTTCTCTTTGCTTGTACCAACACCTAGTAGAGCAAAATTTTTCAACATTTCACAGCCTATGGCTCCACATCCTACCTATGGAAGAGAAAAATGATTGTCAGACTTAATAAAACTACTTAGAACAACTTAATACTAATTTTCTTCAAATGCTTAAAATATTAAACAAATATTTTAAAAATGATCATTTGTGATTCATTTGTGATAGATTTTACTTTTACAGGTTTATAATGCTTTGTAAAAAATACAACAAATAAGGAAAACACAGTATTTGCAATATCTTTTTTAAAAGGAGGACATCTGAAAATTTCAAACTAAAGCTGAACACTGAGTTCAGTTCTTAAAGAGGATAGAAAATTACAACTAAAAAACTAGTACTAGATAATAATGAAAAACAATCTTTACGTTTAGGCATTTCACAAAACTCATTTGATTGGCCAGAAGTATTTTTAAGAGTTTTAAGTAAAACAGGCTCATCTGAAGCCTACCTATAACAGGTTCCATATACATGCAAAAGCTCAGCTACAGTTGCTAACCTCTAAAATATCACTTTACAAAAATGATCACTATCACACACAGTATATTCATCACATCAGTATTTTCAAGATTGGCTAATAATAAAAGAAAATGTTCTTGTGGAAAATTTCTCTGGAAATAGTATAAGACATTTAAGAAAGAATACATTTACTTATTCCTTAACTTAGAGAAGAAAAACAATTTTTATGGACTTATAGAAAACCATTTAATATCAAAAGCTATCATTATTTATATTTTATTTCAAAATGCACAAATTCCCTAGATTATGAATTGACTCCAATTTACTCTAATAAACTGATCTTCATAACAGTTTGAATATACAATTTATTCCCATTATTATTCATACTTACTAAAAAGACATTCAAATTGTGTAGCTTCTGACACAATGTATCTCCAATGCAAGCTCGTAAGGCATCATACCTATCTCCTCTGAAGAAACATACAATAAAAAGTTTCATTATTGTTAATACCAATTTAATATTGTGCTCTAAAACAGAATATACTTAAAGAGTTTTCCCCAAACCATCAGGTGAATTGCCTTTTTAGAAAAAGACCCCACCAATGTCCACTTGACTTTTTAAGTTAAATGACAAGTCAAGATGACTTTATAGTAGCGCCTCACTCCCACCCCAGGAAATACATTCCAAGATCATCATCAGTGGGTGCCTGAAACATTAAATGACACTAATATCTATGCAAATTTAAATTTGCCATATATATACATATATACAGTCATGACATTTCATCTTAATTAAGCATTTACCATACACTGTGGTGCTAACTTTGCAGGTTGAGGCACAAAGAAAAAACTAGCACAAATTTCTTTTTCTCTTCTTTCTAATTTTATGCGTAAAATTTTATTTTTTAAAAATTTGGTTTTAGTTATTTCTTATTTGTTTTACTGAGTTTCCACTATGTCTTGAATGTATTTCTGCCCCCTCCCCCAAGTAGAACTAGTACCAGGGGCCACACAGAACTTTTTGTTTTCTTAGATTCAAAATTTTCACCCAGAGATTACTTTCTACTTTCTTCTTTTTGGTATACTGCTACCACTAGCATTATTACTACTGAGTTTGGGGACACACTGTTAAGTAAAATAAGGGTCAGTTTGAATGTAAGCAACTGTGATATCCACAGAGATGGTCTCTAAATGATAACAGGGCAGACAAAAGGATGATTCATGTCCCAGGAAGGACAGTGTGAGATGCCATCATACTACACAAAACTACATGTGATTTAAAACTTATCAACTGTAGGGACTAGAGAGATAGCTCAGCAGTGATGAGAGTTTAGAGCTCTTCCAGAGGACCCAGGATCAGTTCCCAGCACCCACACAGTGGTGCACAACTGCCTGTAACTCAAGAGTTCCGGGGGATCCAACGGCCTCTTCTGGCCTCTGTGGGCTCCTATACTCATGTGGTGTACATAAGCTCACATAGGCGTACACAAAAATAAAAATAAAAGGGATTTCTTATGTAAATTTTTATAAATTTTCAATTGTTTATTTCTACAATTTCCTATTTTGTATTTTTGACATTTTTAGGTACCTAAAATCTCAGAAAGTGAAATAAAGATGAGGAGGGATTACTATATTCTAGAAAGAAATAAAATTCTAATACTATGATTTAAAAAAAAATTCTAGGAGACTGGGACTTAGACTTATTAATACATTTAAATTGAAGGAAGAACTCTGGATTATGTATTTTTCAGGGATAAAGAAATCGTTAAAGTTCAAACTGATTCTGAAAAAGATTTATGGCCCCAATAGGTAAAGAGTAATTTATATAAAATTGCATATAGCAATCTTTTCCATTAATATCATGACATTCTAAATGCTAATCATTCTTACAGTATTCAATTTAAAACTTTATATTCAGTATATACAGAGTGATAAAGAGACATGTTATTATAATATTTAACCCTAAAGAAGAAATAACTGCAAAAGAAAAAGTTAAGAGGAAAGATACCATGCATGCTTGCCTAAAAATGCTAAATCTTTGCCTCTTAAAGAGATACTACTAGAAAAAGCAACTCAATTTTCAGTATTACCGTGGGAGAAACTCTTTACATTCAGGATTGCGTAGGAACTCGACAATATCTGCTCCTTCGAGATACAACTTAAAGTAGAAGATTAAAAACGATTTACTACGTATAAAATTTAAATAAATCACTAAGAAAAGCAGCTCTTGTTATTTAATAGTAATCACAGGAAAAGATAATAAAATGGCAATTGAGTATAAATATTAGAAAAACTGTTTATAATAGTTTATATTTTCTCAGGATGGAGAGATGGTTCAGCAGTTAAGAACACTGGTTGTTCTTGCAGAAGACTCGGGTTCGAATCCCAACACCCACATGGTAGCTAACAACTGTCTGTAACTCCAGTTGCAGGGGATCCGACAGCCTCTTCTGACCTCCACGGGCACTGCACAACACAGGTGCACTTACCTAGATGCAGGCAATACACGCATACACATAAAATAAAAAATAAATAAAAAATTTTTTAAAAGTTTATATTTTCTCATGAAAAATGGTAAAACCTCAAAGAACTGTCAAAAGGTATATTATTTAATTCATGTCACTTATCCATTCCAAACATCATTTTTTCTCATCTTAACAAGAAATTTTACCTCAAAATCTGCTTTTCATAACTACATAAAAACTTCATAGGTTCCATTCAATTTCAGTTACATTTGAAAAAGCAATTTGATTAGGCTTTGAGCAGCAAGCACCTAGTCTATATTTATTTTCCAACTTGGATATAGTATATGGTATCTTTAACTACATATATTACAGAGGAAAGGATCCAGGAAGGCAATTTTAGCATATTTAATATCAAATAAATTAGTTTAAATTAATAAAAAACGTAACCTTGTCTTACTCTTATTTTCATTTAAATAACTTATGTAAATTTAAACATGATCAAATAATTAAATTTATAATGTAGAATCTATGTTAATAACATAATTCATTTGTATTTGACATGATGCTGTTAGCTATAACTAAATCAAATTTCTAAAAATCAACTTGTCATTTATATTAATTTAGCAGAAGAATAGCATTATGTTGGGTGCAATGAATGCTATACTCAAACTCAGTAGTAGGAAGGATCAGAACAATGTGTCCTTTGAGACACGCTGTCAAGTTTTTTTCACCTTCTGGTAACAGGTGAAATTCCATCTAGTTAAATTCCATCTAGTAATGTTTTTATTTTACATAGTCCTAAAACCTGTTATCATTCCCATTGTAAAATATATAATAACCATCTGGAGTTACGAAGGGTTGCTAGCCACCACGTGGGTACTGAGTCCTCTGCAAGAGCAGTCAGTCCTCTTAACTGCTGAACCATCTCTCCAGCCCCATATATTTTTATATATTGACATCTATATGTATATATATGACTGCTATATATGAACTGTAACTCCAGTTCCAAGGAATGTGATGCCCTCTTCTGACCTCTACAGGCATTAAATGAAATGGATGCACTTATACTCATCCAGGCAATATACTCATATACATAAAATAAATATAATAAATAAAATATTTTTTAAAAAGACAGTACAATAAATTGGGAGGGGGGCAGTGAGGGGAAGTATGGATAGGGGAGGGGATCTAAACACCACTAAACTATACTATATGAAAATTGTAAAAATTCAGTTAAAAAATGAAAAAAAAGGAAAAAAAACCTTGTATTATTCTTATGTCCTCCATCTTTAGATGTTTATATTTAGGAAGGAAAAGTGAAGACTCATGATGACATTTTGGATGCTAATCATTCTTATGACGGCCAATTTAAAACATAGTAGAGTAGTAAGTTCAAGAGTCCTGAGAACCCAAGAATGCTAAGCCAACAGTACTAGGGAATGACTATAGCACAGTAAATTAAATCCTTTATTCTCACATGGTAGGAAACATTTGGGAGAGTAACTGGGTTATAGCTCAACAGTCAAAATATATAATTTTATTAATTTCAAATGAAGAATTAAGTTTATGAATTTCAATGACAGAATTAAGTTACTTGCCTCTCCTTTTTTAACATATTAATATAATATACAACACATTCATTTTATGGGTGAGCACTCAACCTTAAATGTAAAGAAATAGGAAAATAAAAAAACTAACCCACTGGCACAAAGGAGAAAACTTCCCTGTCACAGCTTTTAATACTTCTTGGCTGGCAACACCCCCTACTGCTGCAGCAAGTGGGGGTAAAAAGCCTTGAGCAGTCCAAGAGAGCCAGTGTACAATGTCAGTATTGACTTCAGGCTGAAAGATAAACCATGGGGAACAGCGATATTAACAATATTCACACAATACCCATCAAATTTTAATGACTAAATATCTGTATTAGAATTTCTGAAAAATACAACACAACCCCTAAACTATTGTTTCCCTAAATAAAAATATCTTAATCTTATGAAAGACACTCATTTGCATATCACCTTAAGCAGTATTTCTTTCTACTAGTCTCTGCTCAATTTTTCCCTTTTTGACAAGTCTGTTAGTCATTCAGAATGAACATGAAAATTTACAATATACAGCTTTTGTTAAAGTCAATGCTACAATGTTAGCCATATTTGGAAATAACCTGAATTTTCAAAACAATGAAACTATAGAAAAATTGAACCTAGAAAAGTGAAAGGAAGCATAAAATCATACACAAAAAGTAACTTAAAAAAGGGTGAGGTGATACTTAGAGATACTTAGCACTTTCCTGCAGTTCTGAGTCTGACATACAACATCAGGGGTACGGTTATAGAGTCTGGCATGGAAGGGCATAGAAGTACAGTAAATGCAGACATTAGAGATCAGGTGAAATCCAGAAATTGAACTTTAGATATGGAAAAGAAGCAACAGATCCTATCAGTAGATTAACTAGACAGAGGAAAATCTTGTCAGGTGAGTATCAACAAGAAGAGAAAAGGAAAGTCCAGATGAACACAGCCACATAATCTAGAACTGCAAAAATTTAGCCTAAGACCAAAGATCTGAGACTCAGGTAGCAAGCAGACACAGAATGGGCCCTGAGCTTGCTCCCTGGGGCAATGGTAGTAAATCATCGTAACAAAGGTCTCACCTTTCAAACCTTTTGACCAGGGAGAGCAAAAGTCTCACATTAAAAAAACTAATCAACCAACCAAACAAAAACTTTCCAAGCTCTAACGACCTCCCACATACACTGACTAAATAAGTGACCACTCTGAGATCAGTACTGGCCCAGGAAACTGGCTGGGACTTGGAATGGATACACAGATGCAAGTTTGTGTGACAGAAGTTCAGCCTGCACTGCAGAAGGAAGCAGACCGGCACAGTTGGAAGGCTGGACATGAAAGATCCTCTGTCCAGGCCAGGTTTCATTCCACCAGCACAGAATGTTTTGGTATGGTGTTTTCTACACTCTTGGAGCCCTAGAGGCACTGGGTAGAAATGCAGCTGTTGCTTGGGCATTTCTCATGCTGGTACCTGTGCTGGCAGCACACCTCTGATATGAGGTAAACAACCAACCAGGAGTTCCTCATCCATATAAAAGCAGAAAGGTTTATGTCCTAACAGCTGTACATTTTATAAATCATAAAATATATGCAGAAACAAGAACCTTCCAAGGCCTGAGAAAAAAATTTTTTCCTTTTTTTTTTGTCTTTTTGAGATAGGGTCTCCTTGTAGCCTCAGCTGACCTGGAACTCACTGTGAAGATCAGGCTGGCCTCAAACTCATAGAGATCCACCTGCCTCTGCCTCCTGAGTGCTGGAATTAAAGGCGTAAGCCACCACGCCCGGCTGAGAAAAAAAATTTTTTTAAAAAGCATTTCATGACCTCTTAGTATTCAGAAGATAGTTTAAAAGAATCCTAAACACAGAAAACAAACATAGTTCCAAATATAAGAGCACAGGGAAGAATAAATTTCCTAAGAGTAATAAATGGGAACTAAAAAAAGAAACATGTTCAACTTGGTAAATCAGCAAACTCTGAAAATGAGTGAGAAAGAAAAGAACTAAGTAATCAATCAGTAAAAAAACCAACAAAATTACATGAATTAGAACATCTCTCAGTAGTAAGCCCAAGTATAAATGAAAAGTCAAAGAAAGAGTAGGCAACTGGATGAAAAACAAGATCCAGTTGCTTAATGTTTGCAAGAATCATGCCTTACTTGGCAAGACACACAGACACAAGGATGGAAAATGTTGCAAATTAATCCAAAACAAGCTAGTAGCTATACTCATGACAAAACAGAGAGCAAATAAAAAAAAAAATAAGTCAAGAAGGTTACTACATACTATTAAAAGGAAAATAGATCCAGAAAATAAAATTATTGTACATATATATGCACCAAATTTTGCACTTTTAATGAACAAACCACTAAGGGGCGTAAAGGGACAAATAAGTCAAGATAAAGTGGTGGAGATCTTAATACTACACGCTCATCAACAGTTATCTAGGAAAAAAAAAATCAAAAAAGAAAACTCAGAATTAAACTGAGCCTTAGACCAAACAGACTTTTATAAAACATTCCACCTAACAGCTATGGGATACACATACTTATTTTATTAGCCCCATTCAATTGATCACAATTTGGCCATCAAACAACTCTAAAAGAAACAATAACAACAAAAAAATCTGAAATAATTTTATCTTACTAGATCACAATGGATCAATAATAGCATTCAACAGCAAGAGAAACTATAGAAATCATATAAGCACACAGAAGACTGACATTACAGTATTGACCATCAGTGGGTCATGAATGAAATTGGGGATTGGAAATTGGAGATTGGGGAGAATTAAATTTTCCCAGGATCAAATAAAAATAAAAATACCATTTATCAGAAACATTGGGACACAGAAAAGGCAGGCATTTTGTTATTTGCTTTACTTAAAAATTATTTTTATTATGAGCAAATATTCATTGTATAAAATGATGGAAGTCATTATGATAGCAGAGGCAGTTATAAACTTCCTTCTTACATTAAAAAATAAGAGACAGCAAATAGTCTTCCCAGCTGATGGTTTAGGAAGTAAGAAATAACCAAAGTCAAATATAATATTAGAAATAATCAAGATCAGAGCTGAAATAAATGAAATGGAAATCTAAAAAATAACGAAACAGAAGAGTTGATTCTTTGAAAGGCTAAAAAAGACTGACGCACACCACAGCATACTCCACTGGTACAGTAGTGGCACTTTTGTCTTGTGGGCAATCAACAGCTACCTAATTTGACTAAAAGCCCACTCAAAGGGAGAAAATTCATGTGTGGTACTGTAACATGACTTAATACACATGGCCAGAGTGGTCATAGATCTTAGAGAAAACCCCCAAATTCACACATCGCTAGACTAACGTGATTTCTTACTATGTGCAAAATATGTATCCTTATATTTACAGACAAATATTGCAGTCACCACTCATCAAAGACACCCACTTTGTAGCAGAGACTAATACCAAGTACCACAACTGGTCACATACGGACATTGTTTATGAATTTCCCAGGCCTAAGCAACACATCTGCAATGCAACCTCTATACCTAAGGCTCATAGAACTTAGAACAGGGATAAAGAAGAGGACACTAAGGAATCAGTTCTCAATAATGAAGCTCCCCCATGCAGTGGAGGGCCAGAAACACAAAAGGTCACAAATGAACAAAGTGTAGAAATCAAGAGTCTGCTAAATAATGGTCCTTGGACAGGACTCCTTTATTAAACTTCATTCACCCAAGGCTAGGGACCATTGAAGAAGAGGGAGTGGAGAGATTGTAAGAGCCAGGGAAGATGGGCATGACCATATGGAAACAAGAGTCTTAGAAGCTCCTGGGAACCTGCTCATATGATTCTAGGGCATGACCATATGGAAACAAGAGTCTTACAAGCTCCCGGGAACCTGCTCACATGATTCTATGGCACAGGTGTCAGCATACACAAGTCCCATGCAAACTCAGGCAGACAGTAACCCAGCATAGAACTGGGAAAATGAACAGCAGAACTCAATCTTATCCAAAGGAATGTTAGCAGCTGAGTGCTACTAGATGAAGAAGAGTTGACCTTCATAAAACAAGGCACTCTAGATAGGCTGACTAGGCTCAGTGGATGGACTTGCACTGGGGAATGGCTGGGGGTTCTGACAACACAGTAGGCAGTAACAGGGATGACAGAGTATATGGGCTCCAGTGGGGGTATGGGAGAGTGCCATTGGGATGGGGGTATAAAGATGATTATTTGGGATGTTCTATATGAAACACATACACACACACAAATATCAATTAAAAAAAAAAAGATTGACACGCTAGTAAGCTAACCATAAAAAGGAAGGAGAGGAGGATGGAAAGAAGGAAGCCGAGGGAAGGAAGAAGCCCAGATCAATTAAACTTGAGATGCAAGTGAGTTCTTACAACAGAAACTACTGAAATGCATAATAGAGAATATTTTTAAAAAATATACTGACAATTTGGGCCTGGAATGATGGCTCAGCAGTTAAGAGCACGACTGCTTTTGCAGAGGACCCAGGTTTGATTTCCAACACCCACAAAGCAGCTAACAATTGTCCATAACTCCAGTTCCAGGGGATCTGACGCCCTCTTCTGACCTCCATGGGTATTGTATGACATGGATGCACCTACCTACATGCAGGCAATACACTCATATACATAAAATAAAAATAACAAGGGACCAGAGAGATGGCTCAGTTGTTAAGAGCACTGGCTGCTCTTTCAGAGGACCCGGGTTCGATTCCCAGCACCGACATGACAGCTAGCAATTGTCCTTAACTCTAGTTCTAGGGGATCTAATGCCTTCTTCTGACCTCCGCAGACACTGCATAACATGGGTGCACTTACATACATGCAGGCAATACATGTATATACATAAAATAAATTTTAAAATATACCAACAATTTAGAAAATCCAAAAGAAGTAAATTTCTGTACATCTATGACTTATCAAAACTGAACCAACAGGATATTAAAAAAAAAAATCTAAATAGACCTTTAATGAGCAGAGAGAATAAAGCACAAGTAGACTCTCCTAACAAAGCAAAGACCAGGACCAGATCTTTAAGGAAATTACAAATCTACCAAATTAGAAAACTTTTAGAAAAACAGAAGAGCTCTGTGACCCTGAGTTAAAAAAAAAATTCATGCCTAGGGATGTAGCTTAGTGGTAGATACTTGCTTAGTATGCATAAGTCCCAGGCTAGATTTCAACACTGCAAAACGGAAAAGTAAAATTTGTAGAAAAAATGGGGCATAAACCATGAGGGAAAAAAGATAAATATAAGATAATTAAAAAATATATATTTGATAAAAGACTCATCAAAATATAAAAATACATATAAAGCACTCCTAATCATTAGGAAAATAGGATAGCTAATAAGAAATAGGCAAAGATCTCAAAACCCATTTTATCTAAAGTACAAATGGCACATAGGAACATAAATATATGCTCAGATTCATGGTCATTAGTGAAATGCAGATCAAACCTACCATAAGATACATTTACAAATAGTAATATGGTTACCATCAGAGAGGAAACAGTTTTGAAGAGCTAAGTGCAACTGAAGCTCATGTAGCCCTTGTGGGGAAGACAAGAGTACAGCTGCTTTGAAAAACATTTTGGCAATTTCTTAGAAAATTAAACACATTTTACATTTATAATATGAATTTGTAATATTATTTCTAGATATTTTGGGAGAGAAATGAAAATACATGTTCACACAAAAAAGAAAGAAAATACATGTTCACACCAAAATCCAAATTATAAGTATTTGTAGTTTTATTCACAGAACAATACTAATATAACACCAATAGCAGCAAACAGTAAGTATTACATTTCACATGGTATTCTAAGTGCTTTACAAAATAAAATTATTTAATGTACACAACAATCTTGTGAGGTGAGCTAACCTAATTTTATAGATAAAACAAACTAAAGTAGAACAATATAAAAAAACTCATTTACTGTTATAGACTCTGTAAGTAGCAAGGTAAGATTCGAATGTAGGAAAATATTAATATGCAGAACATTTATGTTATAAATGAATATTAAGTTGACCATAACTTTATATTTACCTTCTCTTTCAAGGTTTCACTTATAGATATTGCCAGTTTCAATAGCTCATCTGAATCTTGTTGGCATCTACGATTTGAAACAAAACACCTCAAGTTCAGACTCCAGAGTATGAACCATTACCCAGCTGTGAATCCTGCATGTTTTAACAACTGGCCTGGCAAGACATGACCTCTGGTGAAATAGTGGCACAAATATCATAAGAGTAACCAATCATTTTCTAATTAGATTTAAGGTCCATTTCTTAAGATGGAGCCCATACTTGACATTGATATTAGACCTAGTAACAAGTGGTTAGACAGGCCACAGGCCATAGGGGAAAGTCCAATACTAGTATTCTGCTAGATTAAGACACAGTATTAAAGCAACTCCTAAAGACTTGCTATACCCATCAATTAATACATCTCTCAATTCTCACCAGAGAAGTTTCTTTATGTAACAGATGGTGATTAACACAGAAACCCACAACTGACCAATGTGCAGAGAATAAGACTGCAGAGTGATTATTCCTGAATTGGACACCTGTATCAAACTGCTGCCTTCAAAAGCTTACAGATCATTGTGGAAGAGGTGGGAGAAAGATTCTAAGAGCAAGAGGTGGTAAATGACCACAAGGAAACAGAGTTTTCCAAACAGCTAGGAAGTTAGTCAAATGAATTCATTTCAATGGTGACAACATACATAAGTCCCACATAAGTTCAAATGAGACAAAATCCCACACTGACTGGGGAAGTGGATAAAAAATCTCAACCCTACCTCAGGATCTACTGGAAACTGATGGCCACTGGGAAGGGGAGTCAGTCTCTTTTAAGGATGTGACTCTTGGTAGGTTAACCAGGCTCCAGTGGATGGATCCATACTGAAGACATTTGGGGGCACAAATCTGACTATGATAGGCCTTAATACATATGATAGAGTACATGAAATCCAGTGAGGGGTCTATAAGAAAGGTGCTGATAGGGGGGGAAGTCAATGATAAAAAAACATGGTATAAAAAC